TGAAATCCCAATCAAAATTCTCATCTCATTCTATTCTAATAGAAAAAAAAACTATTCTAAAATTCATATGGAATCCCAAAAGACTCCAGAAAACCAAAACAATCATGAACAAGAAGAATACTGGAAGGATCGCCATTCCAGATCTTAAAATCTACTGCAGAATCATAGAGATAAGAAGAGCATGGCACTGGCACAGAAACAGACATGTGGACCAATGGAACAAAATCCAAGACCCAGGCATGAGCACATGTAACTTCATCCTCTTAATATTTGACAAGAGCAAAAAAAGGTAAGCTGGAGAGAAGAAAGCATCTTCAACACATGGTGCTGGGAAAACAGGACATCCACATGCAGAACAATAAAATCAGACCCGTGTTTACCACCTTGCATAAAAACTAATCCAAATAGATCGAAAATGTAAACCTAAAACCTGAACCTACTCGAAGAAAACAGATGTAGTATGAACCATGATACAGGGGTAGGAGGGGACTTCCTCCATAGGACTCCGTTTGTGTAAAAATTAAGGCCAATAATTGACAAAACCAAAAAATAACAGCTCCTGCGAGTTCATGGCTGTCATGGGGATGCCATGCATTTCAAACATGGGGCAATCTGACTGAGATGCCCATCGCCTCCCTGACGGCCAGGGTTGATTTGGCTGGTGTGGCTGGCTAGGTGGGTGTCTGCTTCCTCCCTCACCACTCCACAAGCATCCTTCCCAAAATGTGCGCTCAGCTAAGAGGACCACCTTCCCTATAGACAGACTGGTCTTACGCCAAGGGTATACGTGTAGCTGGGCTCCGTGCTAGAGCCTCTAGACAGTCCTTAAGAGTATGACGTGTGCCAACCCTGCTCTTACACGCTCCTTGCCCCTTTACCACAAAGCTTCCTGGGTGGTAAGGAAGGGCTGCAAATGCCTTCTTTAGGACTGCGCTCTCAACTCTCCTTGACTTTCAGCATCTTTGTCACCACAGGAGTCTGCACTGATTTCCGTTCACCGAAAAGAGGGGCTTCTCTGGTTAAAGGTGGCTTGATGGTGTATCAGTCTATGTAAGCAGCGGTGGTAGACTGGCCACACAGAGCCTAAGGTCTCCTCGGTTATGGTTTGTTGCTGTTGTTGTCATTGTTTGCTTGCTTGCCTCAGAATCTTTCACTGGCTTGGAACAAGCCCCTGGGGTCCACCATCCCTCGGCACAAGGATTACAAATGGGCCACAGCACTTGCCCTTTTTTTTTTTCAAATTTATTTATTTTTTTGTGTTTGTGTGAATGTTACTGTCTGTGTGAGGAGGTGGGTGCCACAGAATGAACATGCAGTTCAGAGGACTTTTGGGGGTCAATGGGTTGCGGGTATCAAACTCAGGGAATCAAGCACGTAAGCACGTGTTTATACCAGCTGAGCCATCCCCTCGGCCCCTAGTTCTCCATCTTCTTCCCTCAGCTCCTCTTTCTCTTTCCCATACCTAGCAACATTTCATGTCCATTTTTCTTTGATTTATGCTTGCTTGTAAAGAAAGGGTCTCGCTGTGTGTAGTTTAGACTGTCCTAGAAAGCTACAATGCGGGCCGGGCTGGTCTTGAACTCACAGACTCTCAACACTGGGATTCCAGAAGTTCACCACTACTCCCAGCTTGCAGGGGGTTGTTTTTGTTTTGAGTTTTAGATTTGCACTGCGCAGGAATGGGTCACATGAGCACATTTTCATGCAAGGACACACTGTACATTGAACACATCCTTTGCCTTCCCATTTCCTACACCTCCCCCTCCCCTTAGCCCCTTTCTTTCTCCCAGGCAGTTTCACTTCTACATTCTTGTCATGTATACATTTGCGATTTTTATGTAACTATATAAAATCTAGGAACCACAAGAGAGAAAACATTCAATAGTTGTCTTTCTGAAACTGACTTAATCCAGTTAATACGATTGTCTCCAGTTGCATCCATTTTCCTGCAAACAACATACACATGTCCTTTGACTTTATAAGGCACATTTTCTCCATCTATTCCTCTGTGACTGGACACCAAACATGGTTTTATAACTTAGCTATTGTGGTAAAGGTTTTCCTTTTAACTCGCTTTTATTTTTTTATGCTCATTCTTCTTATTTTCAATTATGTGTAAGGGTGTGTGTGCACACTGGAGTGCAGGAGCCAAAGAGAACAGAGGCATCAGACCCCTGGAGCTGGAGTTATAGGTGGTTGTGAGCCATCTAACGGGTGCTGGGACTGAACTGGGGTTCTCTGCAAAAAGAGGCCCCCTTAACCACTGAGCCATCTCTTAAGCCCGCCATGTGCTTTTTAAAATTGTTTTTATTGTTTGAAACTTTCCCAATGCCATTTAGTAAGCACCATCATGCCATCACCCTTCCTCTTTCACTGGGAGTCTTCGTCTCAGTGACTCCCCTAACTGTGGTCTTGTCTTCTTTTTGAGTGTGGCCCACCAAGTTTAGCAAGGGCTGCGTCCCTGAGCACAGGTGGAAGATTATTTATTAATAGGAGCAAGATAAGTAGCCAGTGGCACCAGCACTAAAGAAAATGACACTCTCTCTCCCAGCAACCGTGGCATGATTAATTAAAAACCCAGAGACAGAAACTTGAGTTCAACCTGAAGGTCAGAAAAGCAAAACAGCCAGCCACTGGGTCTTACCTCTACCTCAGTCCGAAATGGTGATCCTGCTGCCAGGAAACTCAGAATGAGACCGTGTGTGAGAGCTGTCTCCTCCTGTCTTATATTTCTGTGTAGTGCTGGGATTAAAGGTATACACCACTACCACCTGGCTTCTATGCCAAACTAGTGTGGCTACTGGGATTAAAGGTGTGTGGTCTGTAAGGTTGGCGAGGGTGGCTGTTTTACATTCTGAACTTCAGGCAGGCTTTATTTATTAAAATATAAATGAAATATCAGTACAAACAACTGTTCCTGGAGGTAGGTGGCCCTATTGGCCCCTTTCTCATCCATGATAAATTTAACATAATGTCTGTCTCCCTGACCATCCCTGAGAAGTATTAACACCCAGAAGGAAATAATTTGTTCCCTGTTATAGCCCAATTCTCAGAGAAATTTCTGTCAAGCATCAGATATCCAATATTTGTTTAAAGAATACATTACATTTGGAGGCTGGGGAGATGTTTAGTATTGATTTGGGCTTGGGTTTGAGTTTGTTGTTTCTTTGTGACAGGGTCTTGCGTAGCCCAGGCTGGCCTCAGACTCATCTGGGTAGCCAAGTCTTTTGCCTGGCCCTCCCAAAAGCTGGAATTACAGGTGCACCACCATATCCAGTCTGTTCCCTACTGGGGATCCTGTCCAGAGTTTTGGGCATGACAGACAAGCATTCCATTGACTTTGCTACAGCCTCAGGTTCATCTGTTTAGGTTTTGGTTTTTTGTTTGTTTGTTTGCTGGGAGATTTTTTTAAGTTTTGTTTTGATTTGCTTTGGTTTGGTTTGGTTTTGAGACACAGGCTCATTACATTATAATCCAGGTTAACCCTTAAAGTTCTTCCTTGGGAGTTGTACACTTTTTTCATGTGTGTGTTTGTGTATGTGTGTTAATTTTCAGTTACAATTATTTACTTACTTTGTGTGCAGTTTCCACACACATGTGTGCCCACACAGGTCATGACACATGTGTGAAGGTCAAAGGGCAACTTTCAGGAGTTGGTTCTCCTCCCATGTAGGTCCTAGCATCACACACAGTCATCGAGCATGGTGGCAAGTCCCCTTGGCAGCTGAGCCATCTCCCTGGCCCCACCTTGCTTCTGAGACACAGACTCTCACGGTGACTCGGAACTCGCAGATGCTCCGGGGACTTGCCTGTGTCCACTTTGCCAGTGCTGGGATTACAGGCTCATTCCACCCCACTCAGGTATTTCCTGAGCACTAGGAGTCAGATTCAGGCCCTCCTGTTTCCACAGCAGCACTTGACAGACTGGGTCCTTCGCCGTGACATCAATTGCTCATCGCAGGATCAGGCCCTGTCATTGTTCCCCCTTCATCACAAAGGAGAAAACTTCTAAACGGTACACCACCTCCAGGCCCACCCTACTCTCCCCAGCAGAAGACCCAGCCAGCTTAGTTAAGAGCTCCCACGGAAGTATTCTCTCCCTTCCAACCAAAGTCAGCTGAATTCACATCAAGGTCAAGCAGTGTCTAAACAACACCTTCAGGTTCACACCTAGAGAGATTTTTCAGGATCCAACAGGGTCTTGAGACACTTGGCTGGATTCGATGTTTTCCACCTCAGGAGAAATCTCAGCCCTGAGCCCATAAGAGACAGAGACCAGAGCTGGGGGAGAGAGGCAGCTCAGGCAGTAACTGTCTGTTTTGCACGCATGAGGATCTAAATTTGATCCCCAGTAGCTACCCTAACAGAGACAGTTGGTGTGGGGCAACCCCAGTGCTGAGGTGACAGACACGGGTGGGGCTCTGGGGCTTGGTGGCCAGCCTATAGTACTTAGCAAGTTTCTGGCCATTGAGAGACCCTGTTTCAGAAAAAAGGTGGATGGGGCCAACAGGACAGAGCAGTAGATGAAGGAGCTTGCTGCCAAGATTTGGTTCCAAGGCCCACATAGTAGAGAGAGAAAACCAATTCTCTCATAGGTTGTCCTGTGAATAGAGCTCAGAGGGATCCCTGCTCGTATGCCGGCATCACAGACATACACTATAAATAAAATGCAAAGCGTTTTTTAAAAAGATAGGTGGCACCTGGATAACAACACCCCAAGTTTTTCTCTGGGGGGAGGGGAGAGAGAGAGAGAGAGAGAGAGAGAGAGAGAGAGAGAGAGAGAGAGAGAGAGAGAAGCTCATGGCACCAAGGAAACACAGCTGCAATGACCAAGCCGCACAGATTGGAGCTGCCCCTCCCAGCCCCAGCCTTGCTCAGCACTGTGACCGGCCGTTGGCTGGGTTCCTACAAAGGAATGGAGGCCATGGAAATGAAAAGGAAGGAAGGAAAAGAGATAGGACGGGGCTAGGGTGGGGACCTAAATTTATATCTCTGTCCAGGGCTGGATCCCACCACCATCATGGACGCTGGTGGATACGACAAGCTGGGTAGCGCCACCGAGGAGGTCCCCAGAGGTATGAGTGAAGGGATCACCTCATCTTCCTCCATGAGTCCTAATGTGGGGGGGGGGGACACCAGTGTACGGACAGGACTGCAGAAGGGCAGTGCCTGCACCCTGGGTGTGGGGTAGAGTAGAGCCTGGGTGTGGAGGATTCCCCAGAACCCAAAGGGCTGGGTAAGACAACCCTTGAGTCTTCCCCAGGAAGCCCGGTTAGGGGACAGGTGTTATTCCAGTCATAGACCCAGCTACATTGGCATAGAATTCTAACCCAACCTGGAGGAATCAAGAATCCATCGGTGTTCTCCTAGGGCAGTTGGGACGCTGGGAGTACTACAAACAAAGGCTTTCCTTCCTGGTCTTGGCTTTCCTGGTGGCCACAGTGCTATGGGCTCTCATTCTGAGCACCCTGCTGTCCAAGGGTGAGTGATTCTCTTTATGTGGACAGGTGTGTGCCTGCGTGAGGGGGTAACACGCGTGTGCAAGTGCCCACAGATGCCAGACGACATCAACTTCCCTAGAGCTGGAGTTACAGGCAGTTGTGAGCTATCGCATGTGGGTGCTGAGAATTGAACTCGGGTTCTCGCACTAACCCTCTGAACCATCTCTCCAGCCCACGACAATGATCCTTTAACGCGGAACAAGTTGTATGCCACCTGGCAGGGAAGGCACAAACTTGTTCCCTCTGTGGCGCGCCAGATGGCATCCTGGACGTCAGTAAGTATAAACCAGAGGTTCTCAACCTGTGAGTCACAACCCTTTGGTGTTCCCAAAGATCATCAAAAAACATATGCTTACATTATGGGTCAGAACAGTAGCGAAATTATAATGATGAAGTAGCAAAGAAAATAATGTTATGGTTGGAGGGTCACCACAACATGAGGTGGTCATTAAATATTAAAGGGTCAAAACATTAGGAAGGTTAAGAACCATTAGAGTAAACCAAACATGTGTCTGTTTGGCGCTGTGTGTATGCACTATACATGTCTCCTATCCATGCCCGAGTGCTGTATTCCTGGACTGTGCCTCCGTGGATACCAAACACGGGTCCTCACACACTCTAGGAAAGCGGAAGGTTCCCAACTTCTGCTTGCTTCTCTCTGCAGCCTCCAGCGAGCGCAGGGCGCTGCTCAGCCACCAGGACCAGCTAAAGACAAACGGTGCGTGCGAACTGCAGAGCAGGGCGTCTGCGTCCCCTGGCGGTAGGAGGTGGGACTGCCAGGGATTCCGAAACTGGGTAGTGAAATTAGCTGAGACCCCTGGTAATGGGGCTGAACCTGGATTGGAGAAGGGTGTCCCTGACCTAGTGTGTTGGGGGGGAATTCATTCCAGCCTCAGAGCAAAAGATGATGTTGAGTGCCCTGAAAGAAGATGTCGGAGCCTGCAGAAACTGCTGTAAGAAACGGGCCTGGTGGAGGCTTGAGAGCTGTGGGGCTGGGAAATGGGACAGGTGCGTCACACTGGCAGGTCTCAAAAGGTCGCTCCATCCCCACATAGGCTCCGGGATGAAAGCGCAGTTGCAAACCACACTCGCTGAGTTTAAGAACACACAGACAAAGCTGATGGAGCAGGAGAGCGCCCTTAAAGAACTGCAAGAGCGTGGTGAGAGCTGAAGCTAAACACGACCCCCTGACCCCTAACCTTCACCTCTAACCATAGCCACGCCCCTTCTTGGCAGTACAGTTCTAGACCCTCAGATCCCTGGTGATGCAACCTGGGGCTTCACATACTAGGCAGGCTTTCTTCACTGCGTGACCCGAAGCAAGTGTTCTGCCTTTGAACCATTCCCCAGCCCCTCACTGGGCGATTCTAGGCAGGTGCCCTATTACCAAGTTTATCACCAACACTCATTTTACATTTCATTTTGAGACAGGGTCTCAATAAGTTTCCCGGGATGAACTTAAACTCTGTAGCCCAATTTAGCCTTGAACTTGTAATCCTCCTCTGTCTCAGCCTACAGAAGTAGCTGAAACCACCACGCCCAGACTGAAGTTATTCTTGACCCTGATACCAACCATGAACTGGCATTGGACATAGATCTTGACCTATACATAAGTCCCAATCCAACTCCCGCTCTAATTGTCCACTGTTCTGACCCTGTAGTGACCCAGAGTTTGGCTAAAGCAGCCAGAGATCGTGAAGACGTCCGCAGTGAGCTCTTCCAGGCATTGGAGGCTGTCAAGCAACAAAACAGTGAGCCAGAGAGAAGACTAAGGATGGGAAGGAGTGGGCCCTGCCTGGGGTTCTCAAGGCTTCTCTTTCTATCAGATGTGCCTTTTGACCTAAACCTTGTTTCTCTGGTACACAATACCCTCCATGGCATTCCAATGCCTCATTTGATAACAATTCGTCTCTCTGACCCTCACCACCCAACAGAATCCTGTGAGAAGTGCCCCACATCATGGATACACTTCCAAGGATCCTGCTACTATTTCTCTGAGACTCAGGCTATATGGAACACAGCACAGAGCATCTGTTCAGTCCACGGTGCCCACTTGGTGATTGTCAAAGACCTGGATGAGCAGGTATGCTGCTGGGACTTGGCAGAGGAGAACCAGAGTTCACCTGAGCTGGTGGGGCCCGGAATGTCAAGCAGACTTGGCCAGATGACATCTCTTCTCCCTTCCAGAGTTTCCTGCGTCAGCACACACGGGGCCGAGGCTACTGGTTGGGTCTGAGGACAGTTCGCCACCTCGGCAAGATTCAAGGCTACCAGTGGGTAGATGGAGTCTCACTCACCTTCAGGTAAGGAGACGGCTCCAAGAGAGATTCGGAAGGATAAAGTTAGACCCTAGGAAAAATGCTTTGGGATATGTCTAAAGACTAATTCCTAGGAGAGGATTGTTGCTGGTGCTTTGGCGAGTGTGTATATGGTGCATGGGTATCTTGCAAACCCACGCATGCTCATGCAAAAGCTAGGGGAGAACTCTGGATAGTCTGTTCTACCATTCCTTGCTTTATCCCACTGAGACAGGGTCTCTCAGTGAACCTGGATCTAGGTTGACGGACAGTCAGAAAACCCCGTCCTGCCAGGGTTACAAACACACGCACAGCCATAGCTGGATTTTTATGTAACTGTTTGGGGTTTGAGCTCAAGTCCTTATGTTTGTACAACAAGGATTCTTTTCCACTGGGCGATCTCCACAGTCCCAGAACTAACCTTTTAAGAGTGGAAAAGCTAAACCCTGGGAATTGGCTAAGAGCTCAGTTCTGAGTCCTTACAAATGCACACTGTAGATATAAACTCAAATTAGACATTCAGGGTGTCTATGCCAGAGTCAAGCAACAAGGCGGGGAGGGAGGCTGGACCCTAGGTCTATCGCCAGCCCAGATTCCCAGTAACATGCCCCACTGAACCACCGCAGTCACTGGAACTCTGGAGAGCCCAACGATTCCAGAGGACGTGAGGACTGTGTCATGATGCTACACTCGGGGCTGTGGAATGATGCACCATGTAGCAATGAGAAGGACGGCTGGATCTGCGAGAAGAGGAGCAGCTGCTGATCCAGCCCAGTGTCCCAGTGCCATGTCCATTGCCTCAGGGTAAATCAGAAGCATGGCGCATGTTTCTTGAGCCCACTACCAAGATTTTTTTTTCTATTGCACCATTACTAAGAGCCACTCAGCTTGACCAGTACATGTTTTGGAGACCCCAGCTCTGACTCACAAAATACCCTAAACCTCCCAGCTAATCTGACTTTTGTCAGTTTCGAAATCACTGCTCTAAAGCCCTGGTCATCTGACCCACCCTCCCCCACCCCCCACCCCCACCCCCCTACCCCACCCCACCCCCGCCACCTACCTTCCTAGACACAGTGTCAGAGTTGTTCTATCTTCCTGTATCCTCCTATCCCATCTCTCTGACTTGGAGCTATCTCCACAGAGAAAAGGAACATCAACAAATGTTTGAGAGATTAATCAAGGCCCTGGGTCTGTGTTGGAAAAGAGTGATCTCAGTATCCCACAAGGAACATGCAAAGTTAAGTAACTTATTTTCCCAGGAAAGGCGTGCCAGAACCCAAACTGGGCTCGCAAGCAGCACACTTGGGCCGCGATGGTCTGTGTCTTTCATCCCCGATGAAAGTGGTGACTGCATCTCATCCCCACTGGTGGAATCTCAGCTTTACACTCTGGCGTGGTTCACGAATTAGCACAAAAAGGAAGGGGGAGCTTCAGAAAATATGGGCCTTTATCAAACTGACTACCTTCAATATTAAAAGGGGTTCTCATAATTCTCATCTCTGCATTATACAATTTTTAATCATCCCCCCATTTTTGAAGAGGTAACCTTAACTGTCATCATGGAATCGGGGCGATGGCTGGTCTGTTCTTTTTTCCAGCTGGAAGGGGTCATTGGGCATAGCAGTCAGAAGGCCCCTCCCGTGGGCCTGTCTAAAAGACCCCAACGTGTATTGGTGGTTTCTTTGTATAACATTCAGGTGTAGGGAGCAAAGGAGGTCCTTGTCTGGTGCCCGGACAGAAATATGAAGGAGAAGTGAAGACAAAGATTCCTAGCCTTGAGAGTCTGAGGCAGGGCCAGGTGGGGGTGGCACACGCCTTTAATCCCAGCACTCAGGAGGCAGACGCAAGCAGATCTCTGAGTTCCAGGACAGCCACAGCTACACCGAGAAACCCTAAAAAATAGTCTGAGGCAGGGATCCAGGAGAAACCACAACAGAGATAACTTTTTCAATGTTCAAATCAAAGTCCATTGAAATAGTTTGATAGGCTCACAAGCTCCTCCATCTGTTTTGCCACTATTGTGTTTCTTAGGCCTCGAAAACTGGTCTCCAGAGTGCTGAACCTCAGGTCTGCTTTCAGACGCTGTGATAGCTGTTGGAGAGACTAGATTCATGGTGTGAGCTCCCTCTCAGATGGCTTCTACAGAGGGAGAGAGGAGAAATTTGACTGTTATTTGGTTTGTAGGTTAAACCAATAAGTGGACCTGACTGTCTGGGTTCCAGATAGACCCTGCAGTGTTAAATTGAGCCAAGGTCTCAAGGTCTCAAGGTCTCTTATATCTGGGCAGCATTTTCCTTATTAAGAAGGAAGCCATTAGTAATATACAGCTGTCTAAGTAACGCTTCACATGAATTTAAGTCTAATGTCTGGGGAGTAGCACCTCTTGGACCGTAACAGAAACACAAGTCATTTCAGTCTCTGTTCTTTCTTGGCAGGTGTTTAAGATGATGTAGTTGGCCAAAATTAACTGGGTTTTTTTTCTGTCAAGGCCAGTTAAAGATCTTGTCCTCAGGAGTCATTTAGACTCCATTTTACCATCTGTTCCATCTATGGGAGGCTAAGTCAGAGGCCTTGCTTGACCACCGCTTCACTTGGAAGCATGATTTTCTGTGCTGACCCTCTTTATAAACTGGTTGGAGCCACTGAATGGGGTCTCCATGGCCTCCATGAACAAGAGCTACAGAACATTTTAAGGGATACCCTACAGTCCCCTTGGACCTATCTGACTTTGAAGGGTAAGAAGAGCAATACTCTCCCTTTTCATCCTTCTAGTCACATCAATGTGGCCTTCTAGTGTGGGTCTTTAACAGCCAGCAGGTACTTTTCATTACTGTGTAACACTAAGGTAAAGCTTAGGCAAAAACCAAAAATTTTATCTCCATTGTTTTGAGCATGGTTCAATATATTGAACTTTAACACCAAAAAAGTTTAGTACATCTGAACTTTAACCTTAGAAATTTTAACATCACGTATATCGTGTCTATGTCTCATCTTTAACAAGCCTTAAATAACTTACTCAGACCTTCGTAACTCAGATAAATTTTCTAGTTTTTTAATAACATAAGACATAGTAACAGCAACAAATTTACCATCTGTTGTGAGAACTTGGGAGGGGCATAACTAAACAATGTCCACCCCTTCCTTATAAAGTCCCAATGACAAAGTTTTAGTCATCAAAGTCTACCATGGAGAACCAATGAGTTTATTGAACTTACTTTCGGGGAACCAATGAGTTTACTGGGCTTACTCATCCGCATGGGTGAGGGGTTACTGACAGATGAAGAGGTAACCCAAAAGTAGCCTCTCTGGAAAGTAACCCAGCATGGATGCTGGTTTTCCCACAGCTACATAGGTGGAGCCCTCTCTCCCTATCCCTTCCCAGCTTATTCCTCTAGCGCTCCCCAAGAACTATTAGGGCACAATTACATACAACTAGCTAGCAGGAGTGACTGGATACACAGATGGGGGTCTAATGACCCCGCCTGCCCTCACATCCATGAAGGAACAGCAATAGTCAAGAAGCTGTGATGATCTTTTGTAAGCAAGTACAATGGACATGATGAAAATGGCAGTTGTTCTGAGATTCCATCTTACACCTGTAAGAATGGCCAAGATCAAAAACACTGATGACAACTTATGCTGGAGAGATTGTGGGGAAAGGGAACACTTGTGCATTGATGGTGGGAATGTAAGCTGGTACAACCCCATTGTATGTCAATGTGGCAATTTCTCAGAAAATTAAGAAACAACCTTCTTCAAGACCCAGTAATACCACTTTGGGGTATATATCCAAAGGATGCTCAATCGTGCCACAAGGACATGTGCTCAACTATGTTCATAGCAGCATTGTTTGTCATAGCCAGAACCTGGAAACAACCTAAATGCCCCTCAATCGAAGAATGGATAAGAAAAAAAATGTGGTACATTTATACAATGGAGTCCTACACAGCAGAAAAAAATAACGACAGCTTGGACTTTGCAGGAAAATGGATGGAGCTAGAAAACATTATTTTGAGTGAGGTAATCCAGACCCAGAAAGACAATTATAGCATGTACTCAAACATAGGTGGTTTTTAAACATAAAGCAAAGAAAGCCAGCCTACAAACTACAATCCCAGAGAACAACGAGGACACTAAGAGAGACTTACATAGATCTAATGTACATGGGAAGTAGAAAGTAGAAAAAGACAAGATCTCCTGAGTAAATTAGGAGCATGGGGACCTTGGGGGAGGGTTGAAGGGGGAGGGGAGAAGCAGGGATGGGAGAGAGAAAGATGTAGAGCTCAATAAATATCAATAAAAAAGAAAAGAAGAAAATTGTAGTTGTTCAGCTCAGAAGGCAGTGCTATACAATGCCACCTTAATAAAACCAAGTTGAACCTGAACTACACACTTACGATATAATGTAATAACATTACCTCACACATACTGTTAAACTAGGGGATTTGTGTGCTCCCAGGTAAACGTTATAGAAAACACAGACAGTCTTTATGCAGTATAAAGTGACCTACTTTGCAGTCTTTGGTTTTGAATGAACATAAGAAGCAGACAGAAACATCAGATACACAGCAAAACATCATCGAACTGATGTTTGCAGCATCCAGAAGACTTCAGTAAGAAAGCCCTGTTAAAACTATGGCAGGAGGGACTGGAGGGGTGGTTCAGCAGTTAAGACCACTGGCTACTCTTCTAGAGGACCCAGTTCAATTCCCTACCACCCACATGGCAACTCACAATTGTCTGTAACTCCTGTTCCAAGGGATCTGACAGCCTCATACAGAAATACATGTGGGCAAACACCAATGCACATAAGATAAAAATAAATTAATTTTTTAAATTTTTAAATAAAATTTACGGTAGGAGCTAAAAGGGCTGAAGTGATGGCTCAGCAGTTAAGAGCACTGATTGCTTTCCAGAGGTCCTGAGTTCAATTCCCAACAACCACATGGTGGCTCCCAACCATTTATGATAGGATAAGATGTCCTCTTCTGGTGTGCAGGTGTGCATGCAGAACACTCACACATATAATACAAATAAATAAAAAATTTTTAAAAGAACTTACAAAAGGGTGGGCATTAGCTTGTCCTTGCCTTGGCTTGTCCATATAGGTGTATCTGGAAAGTAAAAACAGAAGCCAGAGAACCAGGGCTCAATGGGGGCAGAAACAGAAGCAGACAAAATGCATGGGGAAAAGGAGTCTCAAGAAGGGAAAAACCTGCTGAGCGGTGGTGGCGCATGCCTTTAATCCCAGCACTCGGGAGGCAAAGGCAGGTGCATCTCTGTGAGTTTGAGGCCAGCCTGGGCTACAAAGGGAGTTTCAGAACAGCCAGGGATGTTACACAGGGAAACCTTGTGTCAAAAAAAAAAAAAAAAAAAAAAAAAAAAAAAAAGCGGGAGGAGGAGAAAAGAACATTATATCTCCATGAGCTAAACCAGGCCTGGAGACCCTGGACAGAAAGAAGCCCAGCACAGCCAGCATCTCTAGCCTCGAGCCCAAGCTGGCTGATACCTCTTCACCTCCAGCTGTTGTAGTTGCCCACTGGCAGCAGCTTGGCTTGCACTTGGCAGTCTATCATCTGGCTCCTGGTTAGACCCTGGTGCCTTCCCAACTTCTCTCTGGGCTGTTGCGAATTCCCATGAGCTTCCCGACTGTAGCTCTCTCAAATGTCAGTTCCCTTTAGTAGCTGGCTAGTGGTGTAGGTACAGGACTAAGAAAGCTCATATGCCCCACCCCACCCCCACCCCTACCCCCATCAAGAAACCAGTAAATACACCATGCAAAACAATCTGTAAAACCCACTGTGAAGTCTGGCGTTGCCTCCGTAATCTGATATAAAAATACATTGACCATATCCCTTGGAAATACAGCTCATGCTGGTGTCTCCTCTGAGTCTCTCATTTCCAAGGTACAACTATGAACCAGAAATATAATAAACAAAATAGAAAAAAATGGGAGAATATTAGAGCACGTGAGTGGATGCCCATGATACCAGAAATTTGAAGGGTGCATTGGTTCCCTGAGAGCTCAAGGGGAAGGGGAAGCTTCATGAATGACGTTATTTATTAACCAACGTGGTGGTGAAGTCACATGGTTTTCACCGCTTGATGATGTCACTAACCATGATGGAAGCCCAGCCGTATGGCTGTCTCCATCTTAGTGAGGCCACTAGCCAAGGTGGTGACAAAACAGCACGGTTACTTTTTGCTTACAATGAGTTTGGCTCCTGATAAAATAAACCCATCCCAATTAGAAGACGCTATCCTGAATGAGGTAACCCAGACCCAAAAAGATTAATATGGTATGTACTCACTCATTAATGGATACTAGCTATAAACAAAGGGCATTGAGCCTATAGTTCATGATCCTAGAGAAACTAAGTAATAAGGTAAACCCAAAGAAAAATATATAGAGACCCACCCGGAAATTGGAAATGGACAGGATTGACTGGCAGGGTTGGGAGCATGGGGGGCAAGGGGAGGGGAGGAAGAA